CCCCCCTAATTGTGATCCCCCATCGCCAAGACGTTCAGTCTTCGATGACTGCAGAAAGCCGCCCTCCACCTTCTCTTGGAATCATCGTTCTGGCGGCGTTTGGGCTGACGGAGGCGTCGTTGAAGGAATGCAGCGCGTTTCATCCTTCACTGGTGGGTCGCCCGCTGAGGCCCGTAAGGTCTGTCCACGCCACGAGCAGCGGCAAGGCCAAACACTGCCTCTCAGTCCACAGGAAGGCTGCAACTACTGGGGCCGGCGAGAGCAGGACCGAGGAACATGGTCAGAAGGGTCGTCAGACAAAACACCAGTGGATGAGCACCTCTCTCTGTGCATGTGACTGATATTCTTTGTGGCCCCGCTTCATGCAGCTCCCGGCAAAGCCCCCGGTCCCATCACGTTTTCTTGGAAGCTTGATGGTATGTAACGCGATGCCGGACGCAGAGACGCATCTATCGCGTGCTTGTTTGTCGGTCTGGACGGGGGGTGCAGTCAAGGGGGTCTCCAAGGGAGCTTCTAAGAGCGGCCAGGGGCTCGGACTTCTCGGTATCGGGATCGGGACCGGGGCCGTTCTTAATGCCTTTGCCTTCGTTCTCATCGCGCTGACGGAGGTCGGGTTTCAGGGCTTTGGTGCGGTAATCGCGGCCCTTGTTCTCTCCCTTGTGTTCACGATGCCTCTCGGGCTCGTCGAGAGCGGTTCCAGGGACGGCCGAGGGCCTAGAGCCGGTGGGCTTGGGGTCCTTGGCGTCGGGATCGGGGCCGTCATGGCTGGCTATGCCTTCGTTCTCATCGTGCTGTCGGAGGTCGGGCTCAAGGGATTCGGTGCGGTGGTCGCGGCCTTTGTTGTCTCGCTTGTGTTCGCGCTGCCTTTCGTGCTCATCGTCGAGAGCCTGCTCGGTTCCAGGGGCGGCCGAGGGCATAGCGCCGGTGGGCTTGGGGTCCTCGGCGTCGTGCTCGGGGCCAATATCGGTGCCTGCGCCTTCCTCTTCCGAGCGCTTGTGGCAACGTTTGCCGGCTGAAAGAGGGCTACGTGGGGAGGCTTTATTGTGGCGGCGTCGGCGGCCTGGGAAACCAGCCCCCCCACCTGGCAGCTGCGTGGATGTCGGACTGGGCTGCATTCGGAGGGATACTAGAGATGACACGGGTCTGTTGAGTGTGAGGAGATGGCCGGTGTGGGAGGAGATGGCTTGTTTGCCTTTCTCGGTAACTTCCGTGCTCAGAGTATTCGGGGGCACCACGACACACCACATGTCGACACACACAAAGACATACAGACATACAACAGATAGATACGCAAAGAATAGGAAGGAAGAAGGGTTGGTGGGGCTGACTGCTCTCTCTTGTACAGACTGCCTCTCATGACTTGTCTCACATTATCTGTATGTTTATCTAGTCGCAGCAAGTCTTTTGATGTGACAATTGTGTGTGGGTGCATGACAAGTGCAGAAACGACATTCACTGCGATCTGACTTATCTCGAGACAGCATGCCGACCAGCCAGATATCGTCTGATTTCTAAGATGAGCTAGCTGGCTGACTGGCTTCCTCACTTCACCACATATGCACACACTGTAGAAACAAAAACCTGACCTTTCTGCCACGGTGCTTCTGCTAAGCGTCGTTTGCTGCCTGCTAAGCGTCGTCTTCTGCCGCTCTACCTTCTGCTCGGTGGATGGCTGCTCAATGCCGCTATCGTATTCTCCTCCTCAGCCCTCCCGACAGCAAGGGCGCTTCGTCATCTTCCCTCTCTCCAGTCACAAACATGCAACCCCACGAGGGTCTGCACGCATGTAGCACTGTCCTAGCTGCTTCGGTCGCTTCGTCCTCGTGTTTGTCGCTTCGTCCTCGTGTTTGTCGTGGGCGGCTGGAGTGGTCTGCGCAGCATCCCTGCAGACACCCATAGCAGGGCAGAAGGACCCAGACAATGAGACGACAAACTAACTGGGCCATCCAAGCATGATGCATGAAACGGGCGACGAAGTTCGTCTAGGCATCAGTTCGTGTCAAAAGAATCAGGTTTGTTCACTGCGAAAACAAGCGTGAGACAAACAACGTGACAAACAAATTCAGGACCCAGATCCAGCAAGCCACCTCACAGCTCTGCAGCGGGTTGAGTATCAATACTTGAGAAGTGAGTATTAATACTTGCTACATATTGATAGAAGTATTGATACGAGACACATCCCATGTGCCCCTGGCTGAGCATCACCCTGCACTGCTACCTTCATCGTCCTGTGGTCGGAGGTTGCGCGTCACGTAATTCCCGGAAGCTCCCGGAAGGGTGTGTTTCGTATCAATACGTGACGCGCAACCCTGGTCCCTATCGGTCCCACTATGACTGACGGAAGGGGTTGACGGCGTCCAATCAAGGCGCGCTCACGTGGTTGTTCTCCGTGGTAAGGGCCAACAGCCGCCCCGCCAACCCAACCGCTTGCCGGGGTGACTCACGTTGTGTGTATATTGACTGACTGCTGGTGCACATGTGCTATTGAGTGGTCTCATGGTCTCTTGTTTGCGAAGTGCGTGAGGGCCTGGTTTGTAGACGTGTGTGCGTGTACGCATTTTTGTGGTGGTGAAGAACGAAACGAATTCATTAATTTCTGATATATGAAGAACACACATAAATCCACCGTACACGACCGAGACAAGGGGTAACCGATCGACTAATCTAGCGACCAACAACACACCCACCAATCTACCTGCGCCGCATGGTATGTACCGACACCAAATGCGGTCACATCAAAACAAATCAATACGAAAAAACATAGATGGGGCGATGGGCTGACTGTCGTAAGGTCATTCTGTCAGGCAGGCCATAAGTTACGAAACACACGTGCACTTACATATGCATTATGTGTACGAATGGCATATGGATTCGTGAGCTTGATCGTCGACACCATGCACGAATGACAAGAACACATGAAGGCCACCCACCACACGACACACAGTAGTCACTCCACGTAATCCACCGCCAGACAGTTACAAATCCTGCCTTGGACGCAAAGATAGAGCACCGATGAAAGCAATGGAAATTACAATCATCCCACTCACCCTCTCCCCCCAGCACACCACACACATGTCACACCACACACATGTCACACCTCACCTATGCAGCATCGTGTTCCCCACCCACTCGAACACGTACTCGATCGAGCCTCACAAGACCCCAATCCAACTACCCAGACCGCGCGATTCACGGCCTATCTTATGTGACTTGGTGCGCGACTGGAGGCATCCCCAATTCCCTCTCCATCTCCCCCCCTGTCGCCATCGCAATCAGACTATGCCCTTGTCTCCCTCGTGGTGGTCCTCGTGATGCTGCTCGTCGTCCGCTTCTCTCTCAGTCGCTCTCTCCTCACTTGAGCAAACAGCATTCCTCCTTTGAAGCAGACCATCAGACAGGTGAAGAGAATTGAAAGGACGTAAAGGACGATTGTACTGAGGTCCGACTGGTCCACCGGCATAGACATGAAGGTGATGATGGCGATTGGTATCTCTCCCAGCGAGACGATGAAAACAGTAAGATGGAATCTCACGGACAATTCCATCAGAGGCCGCGCAGGCCAGTGGGCATTGAAGGCAACGACATCGCAGAGAGAGAGGGCGAAGATGATGACGGATTGCCAGAGGAGCCCACGAGTGACAAGGTCAACACCGACGGCAAGGTCGGAAGTCCAATCGATCACCACGAGGAAAAACAGCAGGAGTTTGAGTGATCTCTCCTGACAAATAGGATCACATACATGCACACATGCAGAGAAAAAGAGAGTCGTTGGTGATCTAAACGAAGAAAGTCCGCGAGTGGCTTACCACTGCGACGGCGCTGCCTTTGCAGGAACACCATTGAGCGAGTCTTTGATACGCAATCGACTCCTCATACTGAAGAGGTGAGAACTGTTCGGCGAGAATGTGCTGAGTGATTTGCGGACGAGGAAGGCGACACCGCTCAGCCCGAGGAGAAGGGGGACTCGTTGGGACCTTGAATGACCTTGGGACGAAACAGGTGAAAACGGTGCATCCTCCGCACCAAATCGCCCCGATGTACCACAGAAATGTGAACAGACCTATTCACAAGAGGTATACCCACCCGATGCATGCAAGATTGATTCATTGTCCCTGTCCATAAATGTGCTATTCCTCACGTCCGATTGGCGCAATGTATAGACCGAAGCTGCCCAGTCCGACGGCGACGAAGCAGGCGATATTGACAAGCAGCAGTTCAAAGACGCCGCGCGGAGGCTGGAATTGACCCATGATTTTAAGCGCGAGGATCAATGTCGGCCAGAGATATCGACAGGCAATGTCCAACCACCAATAACGCAGTCTTTCGGAGCCGACGAGATCCGCGACCACGATGCAATAGGCATAGTTGAGCGCACCCGCGAAGAGTATATCGATGAGGGCGTTGATGGGAGTGTCCCTCAGCCACTGAAGAAAAGGAAGAAGGAAGCAGAACAGAGATCTTATCGTTTGCTTGTCTGACTGAGCTGACTGACCAGTTTTATCGGACCGCTGATCTGGATAGTCCAAAACCCCCATTCCTCAGGCACAGTGCCGATGTCCACCGGCACACTGTCATCGGCAGCCTTGGTTGGTAAGCAAGGTGGAAGAGGCGGTCGCTGGTTGCCTTCCGTGATCCGACGACTTGAGCCTATAGGTGTCAGCGAAAGGGGACTGTCGGCACTCGGACCCTCCTTAGGGATGGAAGACAGGGAGCGGGACGGACTGCCGGAGCTATCACCTCGAGGCAGTTTCATCATCACTCATCTGAGGTTCCGAAGGAGCCCTGTGGGCGAGGGAAGAAGGGACAGCAGGCGTGTGCCAATGAGTCCGAGCAGGGCAAATTGGAGCAGGGCCAGCGAGCAGTGGAGGAAGCAGGGGGAGACGAGAAGCAACCGCAGAATGGGATGGATGGATAGATCTCACGAATCTCAGCCTCCAACCAAACAAAGGGATCTGGAGAATGACGACAGAGAAGAGAGAGAAGACACGGGGGAGAGAAAGGGGATGCAAGCTGAAACCCTACTCCTGTATACGTCAACACAATAACCAACCAACCAACGTCTGACACGTATCCCACGAGACGTGAGCACACACCAGAAAAACTCAAGCTTCTGCGTCTTTCCAGAACCGTACACGGGTTTGGCAGAGTGGTGTTGAGTGGTGTTTGAACAGGCATGATTCGTTGAGTCTCAGCGACGTGATGGCAAAAGTGGCAGATGTGGTTGAGTGACACACACTGTGAGCCACAGTCGACTCAGTGGAGGAGACAGTGAGTGAGTCAGCCACTGAGATGAAACAGCTCGTCATATCCATCCCAGTCTGCCATTTGAAAGAAATCAAATGGCAGGCCAGCATCGCATACAGGCTGTGTGTAACATCACGTACAGATCTTCAATTGCTTCGCTCAAATCGGACGTAAGAGGTCCGAAGGCGACAAATCATGCCCATTAATGCACGGACTACTAGACGGAGTCGTCGTCATTTGACGCACGTGACTCTCTCTGCTACAAATGTTACATACACACACGCCACACGCCCAAACGGCCAGCTGCTCAATCGCGTCTCTATTCTTTCAAGAGGCTATGTACGTCTCCTTGAATTCAAATGGTAGGCCAGCATCGCTGCAGACGGTTGAACATCAGTGTGTCTCTCCGTCTGTCCCCGCGAAGCGTGTGGCAGCCAGCCCAGTGGTCTCGTCTTCTCCAGGAAGCTGCACAGGAGAGAAGGCGGAGAACAGTAGCGCGCAGGTCACAGTGGCACAGAAAGCCCCAGGACCACAAAGGATCCGTCGAGCTTGACCAGGTCCTCAGCAGCAACAAATGCGTTAAAACCGGGGCCGCTGCTTCTCTGCATGAGCGGGCATGTTTGTACCATCTGCTGCATGCTTGTCAATCACTTCACTCGCTCCCCCAACCTACCAGGAGTGTTGCGACGCCCTCTACCTGGCCCTCTCGCAGTGCGGGGACCAGTTCGTCCACGGGAAACTCAACCAACTCCAATCCCGGTGCCACTTCCGTCAGTGCATCGATAAAGAAGCAACCATCGCACACCCCAATGCGCTTCCTGGAAGACAACAAAGACGTGCATACTTAGTCCCACCGTTCTCTCACCCCCGCCCCCCTCTCACTCACTCTTCCAGAGCATTGGGGTCCGCCGTCAGGTCGATTGCTGTCAAATCTGAGTCTTCCAGCACCCAAACGCCAATCTCGTTCACAAAGCTGCACGCACAAATGCACGGGGACAAGGGGACTGGCCTACTCATTTGAGCGAGAAGTACTTGAGGATGGAACAACTTCTGAAGTCCACAGACTCTGCGCGTTCCGCAGTACCCTGATGGCAAACACGCGGGACCGAAATATGCGCCCTCGACCCCTTCTGTCTCACTGTGAAGAAGGTCAATATGTCGGCGGTTCCTTCGTTCAAGGCCTCCCGAAACTGGAAAGCACACAGCAGCAATGAGATGTGAGGCCACCACACAGCCCCGCGTGTGTGTTTGTGCACACCTGCTCAAAAAAAATTTCCGAATTGTCTGAGTCCCGGGATCACAGTGCAACACTATGACTTCTCTTCTGGTGGCTTACCAATGATGGTGAAGTTGGCCTTAATCTCTCGCTCGTACTCCTGACGAGGGCAACATGAGGATGGCAATATGGCAACATGGCAGCCGTACCTTCGATAGCTCTGCCAGGATCAGTTCAACAACCTCCACATCGAAGCCGTCAAGGGTCCTGTCATTTTTGACCGAAGGGTTGAGTATGGAGATACCGACCTCGACGACTCCTTCGTCCAGCACCTAACAAGAGCGTAGTCAACGCAAAGAACAGCGCTGCCTCTTGGAGTGTCGTTCACTGCTGCCCTGTAGATGCGTTCATGCCTACCAGACCTTTCTAAACGTCAAGCGGGAAGTTTTCATTGACCAAGTCCAGGTACCCGTCCGTCTCACGAACCTCAAGCAAAACAGACACATCCGGACTTATCCGTGCATGCATCTGGCACGTCTTACATTCTTTATTGCTCTGCTAAACGCCTCGTTCAGCTGCACGTCTCCCTTGTCGCCGGTCACGTAAGGGTTGGGCTCCTCAGGACGTTTGTCACCGACCACAGGGGCCAGCAAGTCGAGGAGAAACTCAGCCAGGTCAGTGATCTTCTCCTCATTTGGGGTGGCCGCCACGAGCGAAATCGAGAGGACAGAGAGGCTGAGCAAGGGACCGACCGGCATCAGGAGCCTTGACATGGACACCGGCTGCATGCCTGGTGCGTGTCCAGGGGAGGATGTTCCAAAAAACAAAAGTGCAAGGGAGTGTTTACCCCAGCGCTTTACAGTGTAGCGGCATGCAGCCGTTGAACGCATTCGCGAAATCGGCATTGCCACACACCTATGACCACACCGACACTACGCACCGGGTGAAGAAAAAACGCATTAGGGCGAGATATCGTTTCACGACATTCACGATCATTCCCCTATATGAATTTTAAAACCGGGGTTTTTTCCCACTGGAATTCCGATGCGTGTAGGCAGCGCATGCGAGAGCTGTTTTGGTTAAGCAAAACTAGACAGCATGCTCTCGCTTTTGATCCCATTCGCATGTCGTCCGGCAGCCGAACAAAGGAGGGAAAAAAGAAAACGAATTTTGGCAATGCCTTCCGGTTTCACGGATTTCCTAAACATTCGCTTTTACTGTTTTACGGACACGCCTGCCCGAAGGGCAGAACTCCACTTGTCTCCTCGAGATCTGAGCGCACCAGTTGTAGGAGTATGAGTGAGCAGGTCAAACGCGATCTCAGTGACCATGTCAAACAGGTGCC